GCTTTAAAAGCGAGTTTTTTGCTCAGGATCGTCGTGGGTTTGTCGAAAAAAAAAAGCACCGTACCAACGGCCCTGTACTGCGTAATCACACTTGAAAGTCAGATTCCTTCCCTTATTGAAACGACCAAACAAAAAAAAAAACTCACACGTGTGAAATAGTTGGAGGGATTCCGAGTTGGTCAGCCATTCTTTTGAATTGGCGGGGCAGACGGAGACAACACAGAGAGGTGGGAGGGACGAAAAAAGATCGACCCTCGTGTTCAGGGTTTCGTTTTTTCTCATATACTTATAGAACCCCAACCAAATTTGTACTTATCACGATACGTGAAAGATCCCGGTCGTTTGATGCTTCTTCCACACTTCAGTAGCAGACGCAATTCTTGGTGTCCGGAATCGGAGGGCTCCTATTGACTCACCAGACTCATAATGTCCGCAATGCATACGTAACAAAGACCGTCTTACCTATTCTTCATCTTTAATATATCAGCGATCAATATTAGATCAGTGGGCGTATCATATAGGCAGAACCTTATAAAAATACTTCAAGTGCTTTTCCCCCCCACTTCATCAGTCGTTATGGAGCCCAAGATCCACCGCCACACTCCCCAAGCCTGATCCGGCTTGTCATCAGTGGAGTAATAAATCGACAATGAAATACCTCGAGACCCATATCACTCCGGATCTGCGTTCTCGAAGTGTTTGGGTTACAAAGGCTCGCGTTCTGCAGAGGACCCCGTTTAGCCTTCCGATGATCCACTGGTAGAGACATGGGAAATGGTTGTTGGAATACGTGAAGTTACTTGGTCCCGTGTCTCGTAGACTTACCGCAAGAGGTAGCCTCGAAAGATGGGATGACGAGAGTGTGGAAAGGGAACGAGAAAAAGAGACGTTTGCGGCAGTTACTGTCATTAATCACCAGGGATACGAGTCTCTGAGGGTTAATGAACGAAACATGAAAAGGTTTTTGACTTCTGGCAGGTCAAAGTATTTGGGTTTTGAGAAATATCCACGGTTGTCTGTCATGAAGCAACTAAGCAACGTGATAGATTAATCAGGGTTATAGTCGTTCTGCAAAGAGTAGTAGTAGTACTGGTGTGTGTTATTTTTCAACAGGATGGGAAAGATGACTGATGCAATGGTGGCATTTTGTGTATCAACATCCTGTGTGGCTTTACAGCTAAACCATTATTTCCAGACGCATTTTGAATTTTCTTCATTACAGAACCGTTGTTTACAAGTAAACAAATAATTACCAGAATTTGAACACTTTTGGACCATGCGTACAGTGACGCATGTTGCTCACACCAATTCACTGACTGGTAACATTGTTTACTGTAAACAGCGGTGCTGTAATGAAGAAAATTCAAAATGCATCTAGAGATAATGGTTTAGCTGTAATAATGATGTTTCAGCCACTACAAGAAGACTCTTTAAGCGAATGAAGGCGGATATTGAGCTCACCTTAGATAATAGACTGGAATCACTTGCATCGTTGCAGCCACCGACACCACTTTCCCTAAAGACATGTTGATATAAAGCATCCCCTCGAGTTTCCTGACAGCCCATCCACAACACCCAAATCATAACCTGCACGACTCCCTACAACAGTGGATCTCTATCCAGCGATCAGAGGCAGTGGCAATCCAATTTCAAGACAGTATCGCCGATTCTCATCCCTCGAGAGTGAGCTGAAAATCTCCCCCACATCAGCAAGGTAATCACAAGTCGAAGGAGGGGAAAGAATGGACTGCACCGTCTTACCAACAGCTTTGTATTAAACGAGGACATTAAAGGCGTTTGTCCTTCGTGGCCTCTCCTTCGCCCGCTATTGTTCCTGGAGAAGTGTCGGGCAAACGCAAAACGTGGCCCTTACGCCCGCAAGTAAGCTACGCTGTGTCTTTACTTGGTCAATATATATATATATATCGGCACGCTGAGCACCTGGGGCACTTACATCGTTGGCAGCCCCACCATGTTCTGTAGGTTCGACTAGTACTCGTACGAGATTCTGAGTTGCGCTTGAGCTTGAATCGTTTGCCATACGATGGTCAGTGAGAAACTTGCTAAAGAAAGCTTCACCCTTGTTTGAAAGGCGTTCGAGCAAGGAAGACGTCAAAGTCCGATTGGCTAGTTGGCGGTCCGTCGGAGTCCGAATTTCTTTTCACGTGATACTTCGAGCTTACTCAAAGGTGTGACGAGGATTATCGATAATCTTGTATTCTCATCGTCGTCGGATGTGCTGGATTTCCGTCCTATCCTGCTTTCAGGCAGGCTCCTACACAGCGAATTATACATTTCGGGTCGGTACTCTGTCGATTCCGGCCTGCAGAATTTTACTAGGCATTTGGCGTTCTCCGAGGAGGCTAGCGACCCTGTTAGAAACGTAAACGTTCGTTACGAGGTGAGCTTGTTCCCGCCTGCTTCTCTTTTAATAGTGGCTGCTTGAAATATTCACTTTACTCGAGCTCGTGTCATGTCGCATACCCCATGCTTCGAGGTTGACTCAACTCAACAGAACTTACTCCAACTTTTATCATCATTTCAGACTTCCAAACTCCAAACTCCAAACTTAAGCGGTTCACTGCAGCTGCAGTGCCCACGAGGGACTTTCCCACAAATTCAATGGTCGGCAACTCAAAGGACCGCCCATGTTCCTTGGTAGCATTCAATCGTTTACCCCGCCCCCCATTCGTCCTGTCACTTTTATTTTAGACAAGGACAGCAGCCCTCTGCCTTTCCCTGTTCCTGCCATCGAAGCAAGCCTTATGTCCATGTCATATGGTAGAACGATCCCCTTGCATTGCATGAAGTGAGGGGGGCTGATAAAAGGAGACCCGGCAACTTGATCAAATCCCATCCACTACTTCTCTACCGGGATGGGACTAGGAGCATTCGACAAGAGTTTAGGGTGCGTGGTTGAGCTTATGTTGCTTTGAGCGAAGCGGACTAAGTGCTTTTCGTATAGCGGTCTCATGGCTGGGACATGGGTCAATTCGGTATGAAACTCCCATCGTACCCTGGTCGTACCTACGTCTTATTGAATTCATTTCAGTATTTCTTCATGGTGGAACTCATAATGGTACGGCTTTCAGCGCGCCATAGATTAACCGACTTTATTGGTAACCTTCGTTCCCAGTGCTACAAGTATTTCACCCGATGTCGAAGTGACCCAGCCTGGTTGAAGACCATCGTGGTCATAACCCTACTCATAGACATAGTATCTACAATCGACCACTACGCTATGGTCTACATGGTTAGTAGTCCTCCCTCCTTCACCCTGGACCTCGCTAACCACGGTCTACAGTATACAATTACGCATTGGGGTGCGTACATCATTCCCCGCACGAAGCTGCGCTCATCATATGCATTCTCACTAAAAACGTTATGACAGGCGACGAGATTTTTCTCAAACGTCAATACTGGGTATGTTTTTATCATTCATTCCGTACTATCATTTTTTGATACCCGCGCGCTGACGAGAGTCCCTCCCAAAAAAAGCCCATGCCTGTGTATCTTGTAACAACTGGCGCGTCAGCTTGGATAGTTCAACAGTTCTTGATTTTTCGCTTTTGGCTTCTGTTAGTTCGAGTTTATTCCCGATCAAGCTTTCAAAAAAATAACTTATCAATCGAAAGATCGAGAAATAGGATTATCACTCCGTTTTTGATGCTTACGAGCATAGCTGCTGTGAGTGGCCCCCCAAAAAAAAACGCATTTGAGCTGCTGATTGATTTGAAAATGTTTTCTAGTTTGCTGGAGCCATCGTCACCGCGGTCGTCATCGTCAAACACCCAACGTATAGCGAAAGAACGGCAGCGGATACTCCCGTTACGTGCGTTTCATAATCGTTCAATCAGTCGGCTTTATTCTCTCCTTACACTTTTTCACTAAAAGAATATGGCTAGTCGCAAGTGCAGGGTCTGATATCTTAATCGCCGCAATCCTTATATACACTCTTCAACGAATCAAAACGCCTTTTCGTAAAACACAGACGTAGGCTCTCTTTGAACCGCTCAATTCCTAATAGTCGAATTCTCATGATTTCTGTTCTGGTCAGCCTCATCAAGCGTCTCACTATTTTGGCGATTCAGACAGGTTCCCCTGGATCTGTCGTTGCCACCGTTGGGCTTATCGTTTATCTCAATGATAACGAGAACAACAGTGAGTGAAATTCAAACGATGTGTCCGGTTTTTTACTTTGTATGTATACGTACGGCGGCGGGTTAACGGCAGTTTTTTTAAATTAGTCTCTGTCGGAATTGCGTTTTCCCTTGGACGTATCTATGCTTTGACCATGGTGAGCTCGAGGATGCTTCTCCTCATCGGTGTTCTTTCCGGTTGACTTTGCCCCTCCCCCCCTATCGTTATACTTAGTTGCACAACCTCAATTCGCGTGCTCAGATACGCGAGAGCTCGGCTAACGTTACGGGTGCTACGACCACGATGCATCTCACCCTCGGAGACACTTTTCTTTTGGAAACGGGAGGACAGGGTCATACAACTGATGACGATGGTCATGAAATTCGTGCGTTGATTGAGTTAACCCCTCCCGAAACTCGTGTTTATTTTCCTGATGCGCGCGTGTTGTATTTTTTCTTTTTCGGTTTCCCAATTTTAGATGTTCATCATCGTACACTGGGACAGCGGCAAGTCGAAGATGTCAAATCCTTGACACAAGTTACGGAGTCGTCGGACGTGTCGGTGAGCGAACGCAAGGAGGGACAGGTAGGGAGTTTTTTTTTTTCCTTTGGAAAGTTGGAACGCCGGGTTTTTCGCTGACTTGGTACCCTTCAGACGCGAGAGGTCAAGTCAACTTTTATCGCTCAAGACGGAACTATATCTTCCGTGGTATAGTCGCTTCTCAATCGACATCTTTGTGTAGAATCGTAATTTAAATTTAACTAGCGCTGTACGTTTTGTAGAGTAGATGTTGACACGGCTTATTACTCTCTCTCTCCCGCCTTCTTTGTTATGTACCATCTTTGTGGCATCAAATATAAGCCTCCGTTGTCTAATGGTTATGACGTCAGACTTCTATTTCCCCTTGGTAGATCTGGAGGTTGCGGGTTCGAGTCCCGCCGGAGGTTTCCCATTCTTTTTTGGAAGTGAGCAAGGGGGAAAAGGAAGGGAAGAAGGGGAGGAGGGACAAGTGGAAAGAGAAGAAAGAATCCGGTTTGTCATGTAGAGCTGGATGTGAGAACATTATAGTCTGGACATTACTCACTATCGTTCCTTTTCTCCTTCTCTCCTTCCCTCTCTTGTTCTCTTCTCGTGCGTCCAAAGGGAGAAAAGCAAACCTCTGGCGAGACTCGAACCTAGGATATTTCAATGGATTCTGTTGGTTTCCGCTCAAGGAGAGATGGCAAAACTACCAGGCTTCTTTTAGTGTCGCTCTGCAACGGTTGTTTATTGAGATGCGGTACATACAATCAGAATAAATCAAATCACTATACCCGACACACTGTCCTCAGATCTATATACTAAAGGGTCAATCCTGTGATAAAAATCGGCTCATCCCGCGCCACCTGTAATACCGTGTTGTGATCGCTATCATATATAACAGAAGCAACGTTTTACCTCAAAAAAAAAAAAGACATAATCCTACTCGATTATGCTCGTTGACAAGTTATCGCACGGTTGCCATATATTCATCCTCGTTCGGTGAAGCGGTGGCGGCGCTTGGTACACAGACCACTCGTAGCCACTATGGCAACAAGACAGTGGTGTTCTGAGACTGCTTGCTTTGCTCATGACAAACGCCTTTATTCTAGCCCAGATGCAAGTTCTGTCCAGGATTTGCAGTTTGAAAGGAGTAGATCACCTTGAGAAGTTCGTCGGTCACTGGAGTTCTGTGGCTCAAGGGACTGGATGAATTGGATTTCCGTCATCTGACTGTGGCTATCGAGGACGAGTCAATTTTGGATCAGTATTTCTGTAGGCTAGAGCTTGGTCGATTGCTTCTTAGTACGGAATATTTGAAGCAAAGTCATCTGTATACAAGGATATAAAAAATGAGAGGGGCTCTACGAAATAAAATCTACTCTGCTATGGTGACACTTTATGTGCGTTGCAATTTGAGAGTGGTTGTTCGAGAAAAGTTGAGAGATTAGTATGAAGAAGTCGCATCTTTGCTTTGGTTGGGCTTGTTCGATCATTAGATCCAGTTCAAGTTGCCACTGTAAAAATCTCCCTTTCGTACGATCTCGGATTGCTCGTTCAAGTTGTGTGTACTGGGCGCAAAGGGAAATGAAAAAAAAAAAAAAAAAAAAAAAAAACAAATAAATATACAGCGTACGTTGTCGTCGAGGCTTCAAAAGGGGACCAAGTCAAAAATTTCCACGAACGTAACCACTGTCAGAGTGTCCGGACTCCGAACCGAAACGTGCTGCCGTCACATCACGTGGTATCACCTTGAGTTCCTTTGTTCGTGACGCGCCTTGTCTTTCTCTTCAACCATCACCGTCGCTATGTCTCTCGAATCGCTCAGGCCTGAATTTGTCGGTCATTTACTGACATTCGAAAATTTTGAAACCAACGCTTCGAGTTTGCTTTGGTCGTGCCCTATCATGAGCGTGCAAGATGACGCGAAATCTGAAGACGGTCAGTATCTTCTCCAGAGCCGATGATATCAATCGAAATTTCACATTTTCTCTTCGCAAGCAGACCTCGTTGAAGTGAATCTCTTGGAGCGGCGAAGATCTGGAGCTCATCTTCGTCGACAGGGATCTACTGCTCATGAGGAATCAGAGTTGCTGCGTTCTCTGGGGATCCTCAGCTTATACGACAAGGAAACAAGCCCTAGGATTGGAGACTACGGAAAAGAGGATCGTGGCGCATTGTCAAAGTGCCGAAGGTCACATCCTTACAACTCTGGTCGTCTAACGCCACCTTTGTCGCCTTCTCGTTCGATGAAGCGGAGGAAAGGTGAGTTTACGTTGAACCTTAGCAATTCTTCATTCTAATCATCCTCACTTTGTAGGCTCCTTAACGTTATCTCCGTGGACAGTCAACGACCGCTGTCGTTCAACGTTATCGACACTCGGACGCGGTATGTCTTATCCTTCGAAATATTATGGCGGAAACGTTATCTCATTACGGAGTCTTAGGTGATATCTACGGGTGTTCCCCGCCACCAAGCCCTTCCTGCGCGCATGAGTACTCCCCAACGATCTATAGAATGCGTCCCCAGATCACCGTCTAGACTCTACATTCGCTCTCACTTTTATTTGGAATTACATGCTACCCTTAGTCTATCCCATCCAGTCTCTCACCCACTGTATCCATTAGAATATGTCTCATCTCAGCACCAATATACAGTTTCATGCTCGAGAAATCTCAGTTCTCGCAACTGAGGCTTGACTACACTTCATCAGACGACCCCCTGGGCCCTAATCCTCAAGCGCAACTTCAACGGGTTTCTTTTCTCCTTCGATTCACCCAACTCTGTTACGATATTCCTAATTAAAAACGGCTTAGTACAGGACACGAGAGTCCCGTGTCCATATCCATACTCTTCACTTCCTCTACCCATCCGATTGACCCTCCCGATCTTCGTAACCAAATCACCAAACAACTCCAACTAGGGGTAGGGGTCTTTACACATGGCTAATTGCAACGTTAATCTGTGTTTGACGTCAGAAGGGAACGGAGTCGGATTGCAACATCCCAGTTTACGACTAGATTATTCCAACGATCCAGACAAGACCGTGATTTTTTTCCAACAGACAGAGTGGAGTTTCCACTGGCCATGGTTCCCTAATCATTTCCAGATAAGCCGAACTTTTTCTGGGTCGGCTTTTTTTAGAGCGTTTTGTCATTCTTGAACACTCGAGGTCATGATGCGAAGAACGTTTACGTTGGAGAAAAAAGAAGTCACCTAGAGTACAGTGAGCCGTACGCAAGCTCGGCCCGGGTGTCAGAGCTACAAGGGTAATCGAGAAAATATCTTTCCTGCTGATGTACTTGTATTTCAACCGGGTGAGTTTCGACGATTGTAACTGGGAGTGGGCGGTGGGAGTTGGAAGATAAGAGTAGAGTGGGATGAAGCGGTGGGGCGTTGTCGATTGAGCTAGCGGAACGACGGGAGGGCTCGATGCACTTTCGTGGCCATTTTCGTAAGTATCTATGATCATGACTGCGATCGGTTTGAGCTTTTTGAAATGGTATCTTGAAGTTGTAGAGTGCGGCAGGTGAGAAACCGCTGATGGAAATGCTGGTTGCGATCCCAAAAGCATCAACTTAAACAGATCGGTGCAGTCCAAAAGCAAGAATTTCCAAACGACAACTCGGCTCCTAACGGTTATCAAGATACCTTAACATTGTAACTGGCAGTTTCTCTATGAGGAGAAGACTGTCTTCAAGAACCTTTGAGGAATTCCTCATTCAAGTACCGACGGAGTGAGATTCGTCGCCGGGTTCACTGGACAAAAAAATCGAATCGAAACGAAGATTGCGATGGTGTTCTTGTGGACTCACTGCGGTTTGAGTAAGTGGACTTTGCAACCATCGAGCCATCATCTCTACACATGAGGTTTATCAATGCAGTATGAACGCGTATCGAAACAGGCCCGAACCCAAGAGGGTCTGCTTTTAGGTGCCAACTCGAACTGGAGCCAGAGTGTTCAGGTGGATTCAGCGAGGGCCCTTCCAATCTTTCGAGCGACCATTGTGGAGAGCAAGAGGCTGTGTAAGATGATGGAGTGGGGTTTCTGAGGATGGGCTCTCGTGGTGGGTAGGTGGGAAGTGTGAGTGAGGAGGAAAACTTTCTTGGCTGGATGGTTGAGTGACGGTTACGTCTGTGGGGAACGGGTGTTTACTGCCAGGAGTTAATCAGTCTGATAGGCTGTGGTATCAATGTGAGGGAAGGTTTTACAGAGTGGGTCGACCGTGGATGGGTCAATGTATCCTCCAGAGAGAGAGACATTGTAGGTACTGCGAGTTCAGGTATGCCAGTCAGGTCGAAGGTTTTGATGGAGAAGCAAAGATCTGTGTATAATGGAGACAAACTTGAACTTTTCCCGGTCAATAATAGCTTAGTTGGGGGTTTTTTGGACAAAAATTTAGTGGCGATTCTTATCATCCTGTCCGCAATGAAGGAGAAGGAAGTTTGACAATAAATTGGGGTGAAGTCCGTGCGTATTCGGGGTTGATTTTATCGACTGGGAAGTTTGGTATGATGATGAGCATTCGCAAGGAATCTGAACTGGAGCTCAACACTCACATCGAACCTGCCTTTGCGCTTCCCTCTTGCGCTCAAGATTCTAGGGCTGCAGGGTCCGTGTATACAGTTAAGAAACTCAACCGATATCCGATGCTTACATAAGGGGGTTTCAGCGACGTGTGCACTGCCTTAACCATGTCGCTTTCAACCCTTCTGTCGTCGCTTGAGCAAGCCTGTACGCTGTAGTCCCTGCGCTGCACCCCTTGAGCCCTGTGGCGATCTACCTGACCCTTCTACGGATGAAGAAGCCTAGTCTCGGAACTTTCAAAAATTTCACAAAGGATGTCACTAGTTTCTGCGGGCAAATTTACACTGCAACATACCTTAGTCTCTGCGAAGAAACTAAAACAATGCCATTGCATATAAAGTAGTCCCGACACCCGATGCAGCTAGCCACAGAATGGAGTATACCCGGGTAAATGCAGAACCCGTCATGGCCGAGTCCAATTCAAGAATGTGGAATCCACTTCACGGCTGTGCAGACTACGCAAGCGGGTAAAACGGACTGGTTTCACAGCCAGTGGAGCTATAAAATGCACGGTGAGTTGACCGTATCGCCTGTTTTTCCCCCCCCTCTCTGTTCAATTCGAGACGACTATAGCACCTAGATGAAAACAAGTGAAATTGGGCTTATCGTTGGCCTCACAATCCTCGCAGTCGTTGGTCTGGCTGCGGTGGTGACCACCATATTACTTCGCCGACGCCGTAAACTGCGGACTTTGGGCCTACAAGAAACTTGGGAATTTGTGGGGAAGGATCCGGAGTTGGAGGAGAGGAGGAAACTTGTCGAAGGCTTTGATTTGCGGAGACACGAGACTAGATTCGTGGACTCTGGTACCCATCGATCTTCATTACCGGCCTCGCTTT